GTAGGCTTGCCATGCCCATTAATGAAGGCTAGAACAGTTAAGATCTTGGAGCAGATCACAGCACCAATGGTATCTACATCCAAAAAAGCTGACAAGCAGTATCAGGTTTCCTGTGAGGGATCGTTGAACCCATTCTGCCTTGGATGTCCTGAGGTGAGATGGGTGAGCAGCACAGCTCAGTGGATGCTGCTGAAAGGATTTGACCTCACATGCATAGAACACATGCACACCAGAAGAGGGAATCTGAGTGGATAACACATATCGAAGAACCACAGTTAATGTAGGGTATGTAACCATACTTTTTTCTCTTACATCCCAGATGAAATGGAAGGATGTTGTCCTCATCTGCCAAAGGCCTGTGGTTCATTATATTCTTCTGAGTTAAAAGATTCCCTCCTGATCTTTACACAGTATTTAAGTCAAGTTTGTGCTTGTTAATGGAGCTAGGTTGTTGAGGCTGAACCTCCTGATCTGTAAATACTATTGTCTCTTCTTCCTCCACCACCTTGCCAGTATTCCTCATCATGGACTTAAAGAAACTAAATCTAGGAGTGAGAGAGTAGTTTCTTCATCTATAGGTCTCATCCTTGATCTTTCTGATGACATTGAAGAAGAATGCCAGTTCTGATGGGAGGGGTTTTATTTGACTATCTATTCGTCTGGATTTGGGAACACCAACTCATGTACAGAACTCAGATGGTACTCTTTGTCACTTTTAACCTTGGCTGGACTTTAGTCTTCATATCCTGTTGTCAGTTTCCGGACCTTTCCATTTCTCTTATTACATATACTATCTCTCAATTCTGAGCTTCCAGCTTACCTCATACAGCAGTTGAAATCACTGGGCTCATTCTCAGTGATCTTGTCTGAGACCACAGCAGGCTATTAAGGGTAAAAAAGTGTGCTGCATATGTCATCCTCCTTTCTAGAGATTGTGTTCCCACAACTGTCCTCGATCCAGCCATCTGAAAAATCCATGGCTTCGGAATTTCTCTTGCATACTGTCCTGTGTTATTTTAGTCTCTCTCATTTACAAGTGAACATTACAATCACGGTTTTTATTTGTGGGACACTTTGTTCTTCCATTACAGATTGGGATAGCTCATCTTGACTGATATGAAGAATATTTGTCCAGCTCAAGATTTTTATGTTGACTTCTCTCTTGTACAACAGTTACTTTTGTAGCAGATTTTGTTTCAAGGTGCTATTATTATTGACAGAAAACATGAATAATGTAGAAAATATACACAGCTCACAGGGTGTGTCTCAATTCAAAGTGGTGTCAGTTGTCTTTAAATGTTGCTTTAAAATCTAACCCAGCCTCACCTTTCTGAATACAAATAGAAAGCTGCTTCCCTAACACTGGAAACAGTTCCAAAACAATAAGTCTTTCTCCCCCCCCCCCCCCTCTCCCCCCCCCCCCCCCATCCCTTCTCCCAATATTTCTAAAATATTAGCTTGCCCAACTATTATTTGGAATATAAAAGGAAAATAGTAAAGGGGCTATGACACATCGTAAATCCTGGCAAGCTAAAATACTGATATTTGGTTGGATTTTCATTGTAAATCTATGAAGTTTTTAGTAATTCTGTGTGAGTTCATGAAGCTCTGGTCTATATTACATTGAGAACCTTGAAATAATAGTATATGAAAATGTAAACCATTTTTTATTTTTTATATTATTTTTATTACAGGGATGATAAAAATTTCTGATTGTAGGAAGGTGAGAAACATTTTAGAAATGTTTTGCAAATAACATTCTAATGCTAGGAATGCTTGGAAATAGACATTGAACTGGAAATTATAAAAATGCTTTCTCTTTGCATCACCAAATTAAGAAGCTGAACTGAAGTGTTTTTTTTAAGCAAAAGATTGTACTATGACAAATTGACAGGCTTTTTTTTCCCCCCCTTAAAAACAGGGCAATGTGTACTTTAAACAAGGAAAGTATGATGAAGCAATAAAATGTTACACAAAGGGGATGAATGCTGATCCATACAATCCAGTCCTACCCACAAACAGAGCATCTGCTTTCTTTAGAATGAAGAAGTAAGACACATCTAATTTTTCTTTGAAATATTATTTTTTCTTTGAATTGCAGCCATAAATATATTGTTCATTATGTTATGATCCACAGGTCTGTTTATAAGTCTTAGAGGGGCAGCTGTGTTAGTATGTCTAAACTACATTCCTTTTTTGATAAAGGGATGTAAATTAGACATATCAAAATTGTAAATGAAGCCGGGATTTGAATTTCCCACGCTTCATTTACATAATGGTGGCTGCGGCTTTTTTCTGAAAAGCTGCTTTTTGGAAAAAAAAAATGCGGTCAAGACGGGTCTTTTGACAGAAATGCCCCATTTTGAAAGATCCTGTAACCTTCTAAAATGAGGGTTACAGGATCTTTCAAAACAGGGCACTTTTGTCAAAAGACGGGTCTTTTGACAGAAATGCCCCATTTTGAAAGATCCTGTAACCTTCTAAAATGAGGGTTACAGGATCTTTCAAAACAGGGCACTTTTGTCAAAAGATCCCTGTCTTGACCGTGCCGTGTGGGGGTTTGTGTGTGTCTGGTTTTTGTTTTGTTTTTTTTGAAAAGTGGCTTTTCAAAAAAAAGCTGCGACCGCTATTATGTAAATGAAGCGTGGGAAATTCAAATCTCGGCTTCATTCACAATTTCAGTACGTCTAATTTACATCTCTTTATTGAAAAAGGGATATAGTTTAGACATACCCTTACTTTAAAACAACAAGTAGTTCTGTGGCACCTTAGAGACAAACAAAAAGTATATACTGTATAAGCTTTTTGTGGGCAAAACCCACTTCTTCCGATGAGCAATTTTTGTTTGTCTCTACTGTGCCACAGGACTACTTGTCTGTTACTTTAAAACAACTAACATAGCTACCCCTCTGAGACTTTTTTTAGATCTGTTCATGTGTATTTTCAGCTTCTTGAAGGTTTGGGAGGTACAATTTTGTCAGAATAGAAATTGTCTTCTGCTGAAGTTACCAGTTTCAAGTCTGCCTCCACATCTTCAGACTACTAGTCCCAACCTACCTGTTGGAGTGCATATGACTAAATATATATTTTTGCCCTCAAATTTAGCTCCAAATTGCCAAGCATTGCTTCTAAAATTTCCCATTTTTGGCAGAGGGAGATTGCCTCAGCAGTAGGGAGAAAAGAATTGTGGTTTCTAAAGACCCTGTATATCTATTATAAGTGGTCTGTGCCCACGAAAGCTCATGATACCATCTGCATGCTTTGTTAGTCTTTAAAGTGCTACCAGACTGTTCGTTTGTTTGTGTTTTTTTTAAGTTCATCCTGTACAGTCTAACTTGGCTTCCCCCGACGCTATTACATGTTAGTGCATCATAGCAAAGAAAAGGAAAATATATTTTCCTCTTAGGGTACATCTACATAGCAGCGTTATTTCAGAATAACTGACATTATTTTGAGATAACAAAATGTGCATCTACACATCAAGTCATTTTGAAATAATGGTGAGCTGGAGGACTTCTTACTCTGAATCCTATAACTCTCCTTTCTCAAGGAGTAAGGGAAGTCGAAGCAAGAGTGTTCTTCCTTCGACTTCCTGCTGTCTAGACAGCTTAATTTGGCTTTTGGCGCTATTTCGACTTCAGCTACACAATTGACGTAGCTGAAGTTGCGTGTCTTAATTCGACTTTGGGCCTGCTGTGTAGACATGTCCTTACAGACCATCTGGACATACATTAAATTTTGCAGGAGTGTAAATCTACTGGGGTGTAAGTCTACTTATTCTAGTCTGCGGTACACTGGGTCTGTGTTGAACCTGCTGCTCCACATTAGAAGTTTCCTAGAGTGCTTTTAATATACCCTTTTTTGGAAGTGGATTAAAGCGCACATGGAAATTTCTAGTGTGTGGTAGTATACACGTGAAGTTCCCTAGTGCATTTTAATCCCTCCCATTTCAAAGCAAGCTAGATTAGAGCTCACTAGGCAACTTTGAGTGCAGAGAAGCAATATCTGTACATAGTGCACCATAGTTTAGCCTGAGGTTGATTTTATACCCCCAACTTGCTGGGAACTGAGTGTTCATATTGACAAGCCCTTGCTGTACCCTTTATCAAGTACCTCAACTGAAATCTAAACCTCGTTTGTGGTCAGGGCCCAGGCCTTTTATTGAGAATTCACTCTGGGCAGTAGGTATTGCTCTAGTCTCCACTTGTCAAGAAAAGTCCAAGTGGCCTTGTAAAGAGCAAGCTATTTGCAATACTTGCCAGAGAAAACAAGCTGTTTGCATTCTTACTCCCAAAGGGGATAAGCATCAGAATAGTGCTGCAAATACCTTGAGGAAGAGTGCACCTAAAATTATCAGAGTTCATGTCAACAATTAATTCTGAATACTGCCTCTACCACCATTTTTATCTAGAGGCTTAATGTCATGAAATCCCTCCCCCTGCCCAAAATGAACTCTAACATTCTGTCATACTTTATGAAAATCCTGTTAGCTTAATCCAGAACTATACTTATGTTTCTCTTTTAATCTAGCTGTATTCAAATTAACTAACTGCAGTCTTGTTATAGGTTTTCTGTTGCTGAATCTGACTGCAATTTAGCACTTGCGCTAAATAAGAATTATACAAAGGCATATGCCAGGAGAGGAGCTGCTCGCTTTGCTTTGCAAAATTTTGAGGGGGCCAAAGAAGGTTAGTTGTTTTTTTAAAACGATCCTTATTGTACATACAAACTATTCATACACTTACTACTTGAAAGATTATTTTTGTAGATTTGTTTTGTTTTGTGTTTATGCCTGTTGATAAAGGACTCTTGATTTCTATTTTCAAGAAAAAATCAAATGGAATGCCAGACTGAGTTTAGCTGGCAAGCTGAAAAGGGATAGTAAGTCTAAAGAAGACTAGTTATAAGTAGTTTATAAAATAATTGCATGTTAAATGGCTCAGAATAGTAAACTGTGTGAGACATATTAAATTCTGCGTACTACATGAGTTAGCAAGTTTTGGTTTGTGGTACCACTAAATGACTTGATAGATGCTCCTAGTTCACATTTTGGTAAAAGTTAATAGACTGTTTTCTAATGTATTGCCTGTAACATTGTTATATACAAATACGGAATTTTTATGTCCCTCTGCCTTTTGTTTAGATTATGAAAAGGTTTTAGAACTGGATCCAAATAACTTTGAAGCAAAAAATGAACTCCAGAAAATAGATCAGGTAAGAGATAATGAAGGGTGGCTAGCAGTCTTAAACATTTTTTTTATATTTAAGTTTATTCATGATGCCAGAAAATCCGTTAATTGTATATTTATGCTTTTAGTACATAGCATATTTTCCTCTTCAGGATTTTAAGAAAGATTTTAGTCTACTTCTTGCAAATCAATAAGCATTGATCAATGAAATGCTAGCTCATTGGCCTACAATGGACCAACCCATATAAATCTTGGATGAGGAGGGGAGGAATAGTGGATGCCAATATTCAAACATGTCATGTTTCAAACCTACTTTTGATTTCAAATGGTTTATGACCTCTCACCCCTTGTGCTTTTTTTAATCAATCCAGTACAAGTCACATAGTAACACTGTTCATAAATGGAAGAACTTTACATATTAGCTACAGAGTAATTCTGGTTGACTGTGTGTTTGAGTACAGTTTTAATTAAGCCTCAAACTAATTTTTATAGTTGATTCATATTAGGAAGCATAACGGATGAGTATAAGCAGGGCAGGAGATCTTTGTGGATTAAAAATCTATGGTAGGTTCACCACACAAGCAGTGTATTGTGAGAGAATGTTGATTATAATGAGCTGTGGTAAACACAAGCTTTTCAGTGTACCAAAAATAGACCTCTATCATTGCGGAAGCATTTGGAAATCTTCCTTTTAAAAATCAGTCTTTGAGCTTTAAACTTTGTAATGAACTCTAAAACGGTTTGCCAGCTGAAGTTGATGTTGTACAATCATAGTGTTGGGAATAGGGCTACATCTGCACCACAACAGGAAGTTGACTGAAGCTATGCAACTCCAGCTACATGAATAACATAGCTGGAGTCAGCATACCCGAAGGTGAGTTATCAGGGGCTCTACACAGAGCGGGAGGGAGGGTCAACAAAGAAATTGACCATCAACTTCCCTTACTCCTCTCATCCTGTAGATTAACAAGGTTGTGAAGAGAACAAATTGCAGTCTATAGACTTGCTAAATCAATGGCCAGTGGATTGATCTCAGAGCATCAATGCAGACTGTTGAGTAGATATAGGCTAAACTACAGTTGTACAGTAGAGTCCCTATCATCTGACCTAAATGGGACCAACACATGGTTGGATTACCGAATGTGTCAGATGATACGGACTCTACTGTAGAGAGCAACGGAACAGCTGATCCCTTGCTCTCTAGGAGAAGCTGCTGCTGCCGCTGCTGCTGCAGGGATGCTTCCAGGCAGGAGCAGCAAGCGGGGCCGTTTTCCCAGCCCGCGCTGTATCCAACCTTGCAGCTCCCGGGGACAAAGTCCCCGGAAGTTGCAGGGTCAGATAAAGCGGAGTGTTGGATTACCAGGTGTCGGTTAATCTGGATTCCACTGTATTGCAGAAACCAGACCATCAGAATGTTTATTGCCCTCTGCTAAATATTTTAACAAACTCTCAAACTCTTCTCCGAGAGATGTACCTGTGGGTGCTCCACATTGTCAGACTGCCCACTGTTGAGCCCATTCTCCAAAGACAGAGCAGTGTCCCTGGGGCTGCGCATGTGTACACCTGTTGCCACACGCTCCTATTGTTCAGTCATCGCACATGTGTGAGCCGTCCTCTTCCCCTCAATTCCTTTCCTATTGCCTCCGGTCACAGATGGAGCTTGGCAGTGTTCCCAAACTCATCCCATGTTTTAGATAAGTAAATCGGTTCTTCCCCGGTTTTACCTGTAGTTAGTTGGTCAGTTATCACCCTGTTTGTAGTATTCAGAAGGAAAAAAAACAATTTTCTTCCAAGTTTTTTCTCCTAGATAGATAGTTAATGATAGCAAGCGACATGCCCAGCTCCCTGGGTTTCCGGTGCTGTTCTTCCTGCAAAGATCTGATACCTGTGTAGGATGGACATGTCCTGGCCTCTTCGAGGGTCTATATGCTGCCGGGGTAGAGAAGGAACTGAGGGGAGGAGGAATCTTGCACATGTGTAATGGCTGCCCAGTGGGAGCATGTGGAAAGAAGTGCATACATACATGACTCCAGGGACACTGCTCTAAAGACTCCAGAGAATGGGTTCAATGGCGGCGCACCTGCCTAATGTGGAGCACTCACAGGGATGCTCATCTCGAAGAATGTCAGTTACTGCACGGGTAAGTAACCTCCTCTTCAGCTTCACAGACATGTTGTAGGTAAACACTTCAACACAATGAAGGGCTCTAGTTCCTTTTTAAAGAGCTAGTCCCTTGAAATGTTTTTATTTTTTTAACGGTGAGAAATTGTATTCACAGCAGTTATAACAAAGTAGCTTCTTTAAAAATAAATGGTTTCCAATATAGAGTTTTGATTAGACTACAAATTGTGATATATTCTAGTTGAAGAAAATTTGTGTGTGTAGGCTTCTCTACATGGTGCAGTAGTCTCTACAGCAGGAGGGGTGTACATTCATGTTGCACACTAAATGATCTGTGTAGACCCTGGTGGCATACACTAATAAATACCTAGTTGACTGACTTAGCAAATGATATTAGTGTACTTTAGAATTCACTCTCCTGCCTGGTGTCAACAAAGACGCCATATAGACAAATTGTGTGCATATGTGTGAGAGAAAATGAGTTGAATAGTATTGCTGATGCTATCTATCCCAGGCTCTAACATCAAAAGATAATTCACAACAAAAAGAAACAGATGAAGTTGGAAAGAAGCCTGAATTAACAGATGAAGAAAAGAAGCAAATTGAAGAACAGCAGCTCAAGCAGAAAGCTATTGCAGAGAAAGACTTGGTAAATCACATGATCTTTACCTGTGAGGGAGAAATGAACAAAACATTTACTTAAGAGATGATGGGGGATGTTGGTTACACTGACAGGAACAGGTTTTTGCTTTTTAGTCAGAAATAAATAAAATAGATGTGTGGGTCATCTACTTAGTAATTTATTATATGTTTAATCTTTGTTATTGAGTTAGGATACACCAACTGAGTTGTGATATAGGATTTGAAGGACAGTAATAGTTTTCTGGAGTAGTTTAGGGAGCACCCTCCATGCATGAAATTATTTGGAAGAAAATATTGGAGGAGGTTTATGTTAAGATTATTTAGGTTATTAAGGCTGGCATCATTGAAGAGACAGTGGGTGATACAATAAGGCTACGTCTACACTGGAATGATTTTCCACAAATGCTTTTAATGGAAAAGTTTTCCGTTAAAAGCATTTGCGGAAAAGAGCGTCTAGATTGGCACGGACGCTTTTCCGCAAAAAGTGCTTTTGCGGAAAAGCGTCCGTGCCAATCTAGATGCCTTTTGTGCAAAAAAGCCCTGATTCCCATTTTTTGCGATCAGGGCTTTTTTGCACAAAACAAATCTGAGCTGTCTACACTGGCCCTTTTGCGCAAAAGCTTTGCGCAAAAGGACTTTTGCCCGAACGGGAGCAGCATAGTATTTCCGTAAGAAGCACTGATTTCAGACAGTAGGAAGTCAGTGTTCTTGCGGAAATTCAAGTGGCCAGTGTAGACAGCTGTCAAGTTTTTCCGCAAAAGCAATTGCTTTTGCGGAAATACTTGCCAGTCTAGACGTAGCCTAATAGAGCAGATAAATAAAAAGGGATAGAGATCTGAGAGGCCTTCAATCTGAGGACAGGAATCTTTGATGATGCTTGAAGAAGAAATTAGTGGAGGCAGGGCTGGATTAGGTATTATGCACTGTGGACATGATCCTAGGGATGTGACTCCTGGAGTCCCATGATGACGATGTCTGAATTGTAGCCTTGTCTTACAAAAAACAAAAACCCTGCTTCTAGCCCTCAGGGTTAAGAAAGCCTTGAGAATATAAACAGTGTGTTGATGCAGTGATGTTTGCCTGAAGTCTGAAATGTGAACCCATTCATTTCAAAAGGCTTTTAATTCTGAAAAGTGCAGTTTTGAGGGGCTGGTGTGGGGCTCTTGTGAATTGATGAGGGATTTCTGGCATGGTCCCATCATGTGCTAGACTGGCGTTGGAAGGAACTGACTCCCTATTCTTTCAGGACAGAGCTTATCCTGCCTGAACATGGGGGCTACAGGCAGGGTCTGTTCCAGCCCAGCAGTCGGGGGGGGCAGCTGCTTCAGCCAGGCTGGAATGACCTAATGTAGAGGTGGGGAGGGAAACTGAATCTGCGCAAAATTAAACTTAAATTGATGAGAGACTTCCATCAGGAGGTGTCAGAGATGGACTCAGTAGCAAGTTTGTAAGGAAACAGAAGTGCAGATGCACATTTGTTACTCATTGATGTAACTAGCATAGGTGAAATCATATGAACATTTAAAATAGTCCAGACACAAAGAATGCAGAGAAAAAAGAGAAAAAGGCAAAGAGTAGGTCTGTGTAGCAGGAGAAACACGTGTATTTAGCAGAAGAAATGTGTTTCCACCAATAATGAAACTTTGGGAGGCCAAGGAATAACAATGTTTCATGAAGCAGGGTATGATCAGCCCTCGAGGTCAATCAGGATGAAGATTGAGTAGAGATACTACAACAGGTTGGACCTCCCTGGTCCAGCATCATCAGAACCTAACCAGTCCTGGACAAGGGAGTATGCTGGACCAGAGAAGGTCTGGTAAGGGGGCGCCAGCTTTCCCCACTGTGCTCCTCTCCCCAGCCACCCAGGCTTCTCTTTCCCCAGCCTCCTGGCCCCGTGAGCTCCGGCGGCCCTGCAGGCCTCGGGGCCCTGCAACCCTTGGCTCTCTTGCTGATTTCCCTGCCCCGTCAGCTGCAGGTTCTGGTACCCTTCTGTCCCCACCAGCCAGCTCTGCTCCCAGCCACTGGCAACCTCTGCCACTAGGTCTCTATGTTGCTAGACCAAAGAGTCCCAGACTATAGAGGTTCAACCTGCAGTATGGGTTCTTTAGAAATGTTTAATTGTATGGACGAATGGGAGGTAAATTGGAGAGAGAACTAAGATGGAATTGGAGAGGAGCTTACAGCAATGAGTTTAGAAGCTGAGAGCTAATGGTAAATGGAAAGATAGGTTGGAGTCAAGAGTGAGTTTTTCAGGACGAGGGAGATCCTAGCATGTGTATGCTTGTGAGGGGAAGAAGCCTGAGGAAAATGAGAGATGGAGGAGGTAAGAGTGGGGATCAAGTGTTAAAAGATGGGGTCGGTGGGGCAGATGGAAAAGTTGGAGGAAAAACAGCATGTGAGAAACTTTAAACTTTGATTTTGAGATTGAGGAACTGGAGTGAGATGTAGGAGAGTTCAGTCTAGTTGTGCCACCAGATGCCTTTGGACAAGTCACTTAATTTTCCTGTGAATCAGTTCCTGTAAATTGGAGTTAATACTTCCCTATTTTATAGGGGAGTTTGTAAGGATGAATCAATAAATATGAAGGAAGCACCTGGCAACTTGGGGAGTGATTAAGGGTGAGGTGAAACTTTAAAGAACGTAGATTAGTAGGCAGCTGCAGATTTGGCCCTGGTATAGAACTTGGGATTTTCTTTTCTTTTGTTTATTTGCTGGGAGTACTAAAGATGTTAGAATCACCACATTGCCTCTTTGCTGCCATTTTCAAGGTCTCCAAGAAAGAAGATGGAGAATGTCTTCTTCGGAGCCATTTAGGAGCACCCCTTAAAATGACTCCCTTATTCCCTGTGCTATCTTCTCCTGCCCAATAAGAAGTCAGAGTAGGAGAAAAACAGGCAGTAATAGCTTGTCTTCTACCTCTTGAAGCAAATGCTGTCTTCCTTCTGTTGGCAGTTACTGTTGCTAGAGTCATAAGCAGAAATTAGGATCTTTTTCTTCTAGGTTTATTGAGGCTAGTATGCTGGAAGGAATAAAATAATTAGGAACCTTTTTATGGTCTTTATTTTTCATCATTTTTCAAAGCAACTTAAGCATTCAGTGGTGCCAGGGGTATTTTTGTTTTCAGAACAGCCATAATTAGAGATCTAGACTTCCATAATCAAGGGGAGGAATTTTGTGATGTGAAGAAAAGTAGTAGACTGTAGTTAATTGTGTATGTAGAAAAAGTGGATCTTTTGGCTTTTCTTAAGTCATAAACTATTTTTAATGATTCTTTATGTTGAAATCTTTCTGCTTTTGTTTTTTCCTCCATACTTATAAGTTTTCTTTCTTCTCACTTATTCTGTCACAGGTAATACTGCAGGTTACAGTTGGGTCATATGTCTTGAAATAATCTTGAAGTAACTATAGCTGATATGCATTTTTTTCAGAAAGTTATAGCATCATAACAGGTGTCAGTTTCCACCATAATGCAGTAGAATGTCTTGCCACATGTAGTATTTGAGATTCTAGACTTTTATTTCTTCTTGAAGTAGTATCTGGTAGTGTTCTTCCAAAGAGCAGGGATCCGGCAAATAAACTACACCCAATAAGCCTGATTTGAGCCATGACTGAACCCTTTTTAAAATATTCCTGACTCAGTGGAATTTCCCATAGGATGTGTTTATATTTTAATAAGTTCCTATTCTTTTTAAATAACTTTGCAAAATGTATATGAAATGTTGTAATGTAAAACATCTATTAAAAATTGTGCAACTCAGAATAGTATAGTTTTGCTCCATCTCCACAATTTTGATGTTAACATTTTCTAAATGAAGCTCTATCAATTCTCTTTTCATATAGAGATCATGATAAATTTAATCCACAACTGACATTTGGTTGTCTCTCTTTATATATAATATAGGCACTGCTCTGGGCTGCTTTAATAGGAGTATGGCTAGCAGGTCAAGGGAAGTATTATTCCCCTCTATTCAGCACAGATGAAGCCACATCTGGAGCATTACATCCAGTTTTGGGGGGCCCACTACAGAAAAGATGTTTAAAAAAATTGGCGAGAGTCCAGGGGAGGGCAATGGAAATGATTAGGGGGCTGAGGCACATGACTTATGGAGAGGCTGAGGGGACTGACCTTATTTAGTCTTTAAAGGAGAAGAATGAGGGCAGGATTTGATAGCCTTCAATTACCTGATGCAAGTTCCAAAGAGTATGGTACCAGGCTATTCTCATTGGTGGCAGATAACAGAACAAGAAACAATGGCCTCAAGTTGTAGTGTGGGAGGTCTAGATTAGTTCTTAAGAAAAAACGAAGAGGGTGGTGAAGCACTGCAATGGGTTCCCTAGAGAGGTGGTGGAATCTCCATCCTTAGAGATTTTGAAGGCCAGGCTTGACAAAGCCATGACTGGAATGATGTGTTTGGAGTTGATCCTGCTTTGAGCAGGAGGTTGGACTAGATGTCCTCCTGAAGTCTCTTCTAACTCTAATCTTCTTTGGCTCTGTGATAATATTATTTGAATAGTGGTAAGATTAAAAAGTGAATCCATGTCTAACAGTTTTTCCAGTGTGATTTTTCTAAATATGAAAACTAAGTAGCCACATCTGGCTCTTGAAATGTTTACAATTTACAGTAGTAGAATACTTCTAATTCTTAATAGTATTTTAAATGCTTGCCAATATATCTAATAAACTTAAACAACATATGGTCTGGTAACACTTTATAGAGCCATTATCTGAAGGCTGTGCCCACAAAGGCTCATGATATCATCTACATGTTTTGTTAGTCTATAAAGTGCTACCAGACCATTTGTTGTTGTTTTTTTTTTAAGTTTCTCCTGTACAGACTAACTTGGCTACCCCCTGAAGCTTGTCAACTTCCTTAATATATTTTTTTCATCCAAATTTATCAGGGAAATGGATATTTCAAAGAAGGAAAATATGAAGCAGCAATAGAATGTTATACACGTGGCATAGCAGCAGATGGCACCAATGCACTTCTGCCAGCTAACAGAGCTATGGCCTATCTCAAGATTCAGAAGTAAGTGGCATTGAGTGTATGCTTCTCTAGTCTTTTTAAATTGGAATAAAAAAGTGATACATCACATCAGTTTCATATAAATTCAAATGGTTACGGCCATTCATTCTACACTGTTCTTAGAATTCAATATAAAATATATTCAAACAAATTATCATGTTTTTTTATATCTCCTCTAATAAATTGTTATCTTTATGTGCAAATTGTTATCTTTATGATTTTTTTTTAATGAAAACATTTTGAAAGAGAAAAATAGGGATAGGTAGAAATCATAGGGAAAATGGTTCAAGTTTCACTCAATTTGACTATTCCTAGCTTTCTTTCTTTAAAGCTTTGCACAACTATTCTGGCATCTTCTGGATCAATACTGTTTACATACAGCAAAAAGATAGAAATTTGGTAGCTCATATAGGAGATAGCTGTCTCATAGCAGTCGGCTATAGGAATAATTCTGTATAACTTTGTTAGACATGGATTCAAATTCAAACTTCTGAGGGGATAGTTATAAGTAGTCTATAAAAACACATACATCGTAATGTCAAAAGCTGTTTTCAATTGTGTGTAGAAAGGTAGTTGGATGGTGGTTGTTTAAATAAATCCAAAAAGTCTCAGTAATAATACACACATACATTTGTCTCTGAACTTTACAATCAAATGAGACGACTGGTGGTGGTGGGGATTTTTAACTATTTGTAAAGGCTCTTTCTATATAGTATGTGTTCTTCTGTGTGGTTGTCACAAAGTTCTGGTACAGAACCAATAATGTAGAAAACTTTAGGTCTGTTAGATTATGCTTATTTGGAAAAGTATTGCTTTCTAAAAATGCCATAGTTATGGGGGGGGGGAGCAGAGAAGAGTCTAGAAATAAACTAATACTTGATGCTCAGCACTTCTGAAAGTTAGATCGTTTGTGTTTATAGAATCAAGGACTTAATTTTAGGCATCCAGTTATTTCAAATGTTTACATATTTGAAGAACTATTTTATTTAATACTGTTTTCATTACATGATTAGCATAGTAATCTTTTAAAACTTCTTTTCTATTGAGATATGAAGAGGCAGAAGCAGACTGCACACAAGCTGTGCTACTAGATGTTTCCTATTCTAAAGCTTTTGCCAGAAGAGGTACTGCCAGAGCAGCATTAGGAAAACTAAAAGAAGCTATGCAAGGTGAGACTTTGAATGCATTCAATGTTTGTGATAATTTTTGTCCTGATTTTTTTAAAAACTCCTAAACAATTACTAGGTGACTGTGGCCTATGCTTGCTTTGCTTGCCTCCCCTCTCTCTCTCTCTCTCTCTCTTCATCCCCCCCCCCCCCCCCCGAAAGAGCCTGCTGATGTGGTGATGTCATTCTGTTGTCTGGTGGGAATATTCTGTCATCCGTCAGGAAAAACTTTTTTATATATGTAGAGAGAAACCACTGTATTGGCATTGCCTTTATTGGGGCAAAACTCTTTTTTTTTTTTTTTTTTTTTTTTTTAATAAAGAAAAACAACACTCTGGGTGTGTCTAAACTACACCCCTTTGCCAACAGAGGGATATAGATTAGGCACCTCACTATTGCAAATGAAGTGGGGATTTAAATATCTTGCGCTTCATTTGAATAGAAATGGCCACCGCCTCCTGCCAATGCGGTACTTTGCCGGCAAAAAGCGGCAGTCTAGATGGGGATCAGTCGACAGGGAAAGACTTTTCCGACCGATCCCTTATGCTTCGTGCAACAAGTTTTACAGGATTGGTCGGAAAAGGCTTTCCTTATCGACCAATCCCCGTCTAGTCCGCTGCTTTTTGCCGGCAAAGTACCGCATTGGCAGGAGGCGGTGGCCATTTCTATTCAAATGAAGCGCAAGATATTTAAATCCCCACTTCATTTGCAATAGTGATGTGCCTAATCTACATCCCTCTTTCGGCAGAGGGATGTCGTTTAGACACACCCTCTGTGAGGATTTTTAGGGAGGGATTAAAGACATTCCCTCACTCATGGCTTTCTGTCATCTTAGATCACAATTCCAACAGAGGTACAGCTCACTTGCTTAACAGATCAGCAGTTAGGGTCACCAATGAGATTGTCAAGTCACCAGTGTGGTGTCCTGAAAGGCCCTGTGCTTTGTCCATTTGAATACTTTTTGTGCTCCCTCTGTATATTATTAGCTCTATGTAAATTGCTGATACAACTGATACTCCAAGAGAGCCCCCAAAGATCACAAAATCAGATGATGATTGAAGACACCCAGCCAGATTTATTGTAAACGAAGCATAGTAATAGCTTCCTTGGATCCCAGGCCTACATATATGCTTAAGAATGTGAGCCCATGACAGTGGACTTGACTCAGTCAGTAAGTAACATGGGATTTAACATGCACCCCAGGGGTACATTTTTAAACATAGGTACACACTTGCTACATATCACTTCTGCCGTATTAGGTTGCTACCGTCTGACGATACATAGATAACACCCATTACCTTTTACATGGGGGTTCAGTTACTATAATGCTGTTAGTTTTAGACCCTGTCCTGATCCTGGATCAGTATGTCTGTTGTTTGTGGGGAGTTTGTTCTTCACGAGGTATTCTGTTATGACCTCTCTGGAATGTACTTCCAGCTTGTGCCTTGTATTATTTAGTATTTTAAATTATGAACCCTGTGTGTGTCCATTTCTGTTAGCTGGGCCTGCCTCGTGCTCACAGTTTTAACTTTGCTTTATATTAGCACAGTCTTGATCATTGTGGCCTAGGCCACCTCATTTCAGGCCTGTAATACATGAGCTTATGTTTCAGGCCCTCCTATTACTCCATAAATGTCAAGTCTTTAATTATTTGTCTTGATAGGACAAATTGAAGATTTATTTTACTTGCCCCCCCCCCCCATCGACCTCTTATTTGAATGGATAATTTTATCTCTCTAAAGATTGCAGTAGAATGTAAAAAAGAGTGTTGTAGTCGGGTTCCAGGTTTGGATTCCTGCAAAGAATTAAGTTTCAATAACATGGGACATAAATATTGGGACAACGGGGGAGTTAAGGACTGATACCACAGTGATATAGTAAACCAATTGAATTTACAAGCTTGAGCATGTGTTTTCAATATTATCCTGCTTCAAAAACTTCATTAAAATGGAGTCTAGTTTGAAAATAGTAATTTAGGGGAAAATGCATCACAGGAATAGTGTACCTGTTCCAGAAACAAACATGATGAAACTAGGAAACTCAGATTTAAGGTTATATTTAAAAGGAAACAGGCCTTTAACTTGTTCTGAAAAAGTACAGTTAAGGCATCTAAACAATCTTAACTGCCTAATGCCAGACAGTAATCACATAAAGCATTTTACTGTTCCAGGTTAGGTAAAAATTGTTTTGAAGGCTCACTTGTTATTTTTTCTTAGCTCTGCCACCTTGTGGTATCCCTTCAGGACAGAGTTATGGCTGCTTGGGTGCCTTAATTATGCTTAAGTACAACATGCTAATCTGTCTTAAATATGGATCTATGACTGGTGCTTTCATAAGAGAGATTATTTTAACATAAAATGTATTTTCCCACTTAGTGTTAAATACATCTTTATATTACATATTACTAGTTACTAGGAAATAATCAAGATTTCTATTTTTCCAATTTATGTTGAGTGAGTTTTTGTATTTTTAATTTGGAGTTACCTTTTGAGGGAAAACAGATACTTTTAATAAAAACAAATACTTCAACTTCAAATTTGTACGTATTTTTTTTTTATTCATTTAGATTTTGAAACAGTTTTGAAGCTGGAACCTGGCAACAAACAAGCAACGAATGAACTAACCAAAATACAGAACGTATGTATGTTTTTGACTGTGTTGCAGTTTGTTTATATAATATTTCTGTGCTTAGATTATATGTATACATTGAATGAGTTTTATAAACAACCTTAATTTTAATTATCTGAACAATTTTCTTTAAGGAATTAGCTGAGAAAGGTCTGTGGATTTACCAGGAATGTCCTGAACGATCAGCAGAAGAAGCAGAAATAAGAAACCTAGTGCTACCCATTGATAAACCCTTGCATCTTAGGTCAACTGTAAGTGTGTTGGGGCAGCAGGGGAAAGTGTGATATTTTGAAAATTAAGTAGGGCATGAAGAAATGGTGGCGTTCAACAGTTAACCCCTTTCTTACTTGTTGTATTGCAAATGTAAACCTATATTTGTCAGGCACATTTCTTCTTAGAGTGGCCCTCGTGGGTGCTCCACTCTAAGTGTCAGGCTCTTTCCAGCGCCGCTGATCGGAGGCTTTTCGTAGCTGTAGTCGGCCGGACCACGCATGCGCAGCAGCCGCTGCACGCCGTTTCTCCCATCACGCGGTCCGGCCCCTCTGCCAGTTCCTCTCAACCGTCCTAGGTTGCTGACGGAGCTCCGTTGTCTCTCCTCAGAGGCAGCTCCTTTCAAAGTTCAAATTTTCATTAGTTTTTCTTCAGGTTATTGTTAGTTAGTTATTCGTTAGTTTAAAAAAAAAAGTTAAAGTTAAACTTAGTTAGTCAGGTTACTGTTATTGTTACTAAGTTCTAGTTTATTATTACTATTTAACCCGGTTGAATCCCAGTGCCTGGTTCACCAGGGTTTAAGAAATGTTCCCAGTGTAAGGACCCCATGCCAGCATCTGATGGCCATGACGCACGTATACACTGTTTGGGGGAGTCCCATATACCGAGCAAGTGTGCCCACTATTAACAGCGATAGCACGTAGGGACAGAGACATGAGTCTCAAGCTCATCTTCTTTGATAAGGCTCTGCAGCCTTCTGAAGTGGCTCAAGGGGACGACTCTATGGAGTGCAAGCGAAGGTTGTCACTGCCGAGGGAGTCGACCGCGAAGAAAGCCTCCCCGGCGCGATCCCTGGCCGCGGCCCCTCTGTCTAAAATCAGTGAGGGTGACCAACCAAGCACCTCTGGAACAGGCCGTCAGCCCGCGAAAGAAAAATCGGAGAGGCATAAGCCTTTAGTGCGCTCCTCTTTAGTGCGCCTTTGAGCACTATTAAGGCTGCGGGGAAGAAGCTGGCTCCTCCGACTCACAGGCGGCCGCCTACGCAGGCGGCACCGATGGTGCAACAGCACGGGAGGCATGATACAGCACCGAGGCCGGTACCACTTCAATCGACGGCACCGACAGCCCAGTCGGCACCGGGGCACCAAACGCCCACGGCATCAGATACGGTGCCGAGTGACAGAAACCAAGTACGGCACCAACGGACCACCGCAGTTCGGTTCCGCATAAGACACCGGCAGGAGAGTTAGTCTCCCCAGCTTCATCAGTACGGCACTCCCCAATACTGGTTTTGGACAATGAGGATCAAGCCTCAAAACATTCCTCTATTGATGAGACCCTCACCATGCCTTCAGCCGTTCCTACAAAAGCTCAAAGGAAATCGGTTCCGAGAAGGGTGTCCCTGTCTCCCTCACCGATGTTTTCCCCGGCACCGTCTCCATCCCCTCCATGGTACCACTCTCCGCGAGAGCCTCGTTATCAGCGCAGCCCACGTTCTCTGCACTGGCATTCGAGGCCTCACTATACTTATGTGTACAGGCACCCCCTGCTGCATTATGGGATGCCTACTAGCAGATCTCGTTCACCGACTCGTTTGCCTTCAAGGTCTTATCGCAGTAGATATAGCAGTGCCCATTCATCCAGGAGGCCGTCTCCTGACTACTCCTATTGCCATGAGGGAGAGATTATTTTTCTCATGACTGTACAAGATCTCGTTCTCCTTCCCATTCTTGTTGTTGCTGTGCGTCTCTGGCTAGACACCAGTCCCCGGTGGGCTCACTCGAACAGACAGCCCCATCGCCCAAGGTTCCGGTGGCTGCCCCTCCTCCTCCTCCTCCTGCTCTTCAGATGTCCAAACCAGAGGAGGGTCAGATTTCGGACGATGATGCCCCTCCACACACAGTGTCTCCAGCTGACATTTCGTCATATTCCCCGGAGGAGGCCTTCTTTCAAGGGGACACTTCACCCCCAGATGACGGTCAAGAGTTCCAGGATCTCTTTAAACGGGTAGCGCAGACACAGAATGTCCAGCTGGCAGACATGCAGATCAAGCAATATAGGCTGCTGAAAAATTTACACCTGAGACAACAGTCGAGAGCAGCACTTCCGAGTGATGAGGCCATTCTCGAACCAGCCTCGGAAATCTGGCACACCTGGCTTCTGCCCCACCTACATCAAAGCGGGCGGAAAAGAGATTTTGTACCTTCCAAGGGTTTGGAGTTTCTCTTTACCCACCCCGAGCCAAACTCTCTTGTAGTGGATGCAGCCCTTAACCGTGCCAAGAATCCACAGGTGAAAAATGCAGCAGTGGAGAAAGAGGCCAAAAAACTAGACATCTTCGGTCGAAAAGTTTATTCTTCATCCACCCTTCTTCTTCGCATTGCAAATTACGCGGCACTTCTGTCCAACCATGGGTTCGATAACATCACCAAGTTGGCAGGGCTTGCCTAGAACGCTTCCGAAGCAGACAAGGCCATAGTACAGGAGGGGTATGCTTGCTCTAGAGCTAGTCTACAGATAGCCATGGATATTGTGGATACTGCCACAAGATCAATAACTACCACAGTATCCATGCATAGAGCATCATTGTTGGCTGCTGCGGGCTCCCCTAAGGATTTGCAGGCAAAAGTCAAAGACCTTCCTTTCGACAAATTGAAGCTATTCGCGGACAAAACTGATGAGGTGTTACACACTGGAAAGGACTTGCGTACGACCCTACGTACCCTTGGCATGTACGTACCACCGTTCCGTCGTCAAAGGTACTTCCGTATCAGAGGCGATATGACTTCAATTCCAAAGATGACAACCTTGTCCTTTTGATCAGACTTGATCTAAACAAAGACCGCAGTGTAGACGTCCACAACTGTCTAGGGCAACCTACGTACTGCACACAAAACAGCAGGTTTGACTCGCTTGTCGAGGGTGCAACCTCACCTGTTGTCGTTGCCATCACTGCCGATACCATACCCATCTTTCATCATCGCCTTCGGCCTTATTACAATCGTTGGGCTGAAGTATCCACCGACAAATGGGTATTGGAAATAAGATCAGGCTTCACCATCCCCTTTGGGTCTATACCCCCTATCCATCCCCCAACCCCGTCTCTTTTCAGGGACCCCTCTCACGACACTCTTTTGCGACAGGAGGCTCTACGCCTACTTGCCATCAGAGCCATAGAGAGGGTCCCAAAAGAGTTTAAAGGGAAAGGTTTTTATTCATGCTACTTCCTGATGCAAAAGAAGACAGGAGGATGGAGACCGATTCTCGATCTGCGTTGGCTCTACCGTTATCTGAAGAAAAGACGTTTCAAGATGGTGACTCTGGCCACAATAATCCCATCTCTGAATCACAATGACTGGTTTGCGGCCCTCTATTTGTAGGACGCATATTTTCACATTACGATTCATCCGGCACACAGATGCTTCTTGCGCTTCATGATAAACAATGACCATTTCCAGTACAGGGTCCTCCCCTTTGGCCTGGCGTCAGCTCCCAGAGTTTTCTCAAATACTCTAGCTGTCGTCGCTGCATATCTCCGTCGTCAGCACTTTCTCATATTCCCTTATTTGGATGATTGTCTCATAAAGGCGACAACGCATCAGGAGACCATGCGAATGATCTCGTTGATCAGAAACATGTTCGATTCTCTGGGCCTAATAATAAACAAACAGAAGTCGACCATTGTCCCCACACAAAATATAAAGTTCATAGGGGCAGTTCTAGATTCTATCACGGCAAGGGCATACTTACCTCTAGACAGGTTTCACTCGATACAAGAACTAGTGAAGGTCCTCGACACCGCTCCGACTGTATCCGTCCATACCTGCCTTCGTCTTCTGGGCCACATGGCATCTACCACCTTTGTTTTCCCTCATGCCGGACTTCACTTCAGGGATCTTCAACACTGGTTAGCAAGAGTATACATACTGCAAAAACACAGCATTCACAAGACGGTCACTGTGCGGCCACATGTCCACAATTCCCTGCGTTGCTGGAAGCATACAGGAAACCTCCTTTCGGGAGTTCCATTCCATCGTCCTCAGTCCTCTGCGCTTATAACAGATGCCTCGCTTATAGGCTGGGGTGCACATATGGACAACGACCGCATTCAGGGCAGGTGGTCCTCCACAGAGAAGACTTATCACATCAATCTCTTGGAGTTATGTGCCATTTTTCTGGCATGCAAGCATTTTTTCCCACGCATTCAGCACACCACAGTCACAGACAACGTGGCGGCAATGTACTATGTGAACAGACAGGGAGGCGCCAGATCCCACTCCCTCTGCGCCGAAGCAGTGTGGTTCTGGAATTGGTGCATAACGAACGACGTAATCATCACAGCGTCTTACTTACCTGGCATCAGCACTGTCGTTGCAGATTCGTTGAGCAGACAATTCCCTGCGGATCACGAGTGGGAGATGAGATCAGGCGTGCTACATTACATCTTTCGCAGGAGGGGTACGCCAACGATAGACCTTTTTGCCACAACACACAATGCCAAGTGTCCCCAGTTCTATTCCAGAGCGGGAATGGGAAGGGGTTCTCTGGGCGACGCCCTTCTGACCACTTGGCACAGATCACTTCTTTATGCATTTCCCCCACAGTCCTAGTTGCAAGGACTCGAGAAAATAACGTTCGAGGAGGCGACAGTCATCCTGATAGCCCTGGCATGGCCGAGACAGCCGTGATACCCACTCTTGCACAGGATGTCAATATACCCACCATGAACACTCCCTCTTCACCCAGATCTGTTATCACAGGAGGAAGGGGCTCGGCATCCCAGACTCGATTCACTCCACTTCACAGCATGGCTGATAACTGGCTCAAAGATGACGAGCACCTTTGTTCACAATGAGTCAAGACAATTTTGATGAGCATCAGGAAATCTTCGACTCGAAAAACTTACCTGGCGAAGTGGCACAGGTTTGCTCAACGGTGTCGAACTCAAAACGTGCAACCCCTTGTCTCTCCTTTGCGTCAGGTCCTGGATTATGTCCTCCAGCTTCACGATTCTGGCCTCTCCATGTCAACCCTGAAAGTTCACTTAGCAACTATCAGTGCTTTCCATCAACCAGTGCAAGGTTCCTTTTTTTTTTCCCCCATCAAACCACGAAAAGATTTTTGAAGGGATTGGCGAACATGCACCTACCTCACAGACCACCTCCACCAGTCTGGAGCCTGGATTTGGTCCTGCGCACATCGTTTGCCCTCCTTTTGAGCCCTTGGCATCTACATCGCTGCAAATGTTAACAATGAAAGTCGTATTCCTATTAGCGATTACCTCAGCACGCAGAGTCAGCGAGCTGGGGGCGTTAAGGGCAAGTCCTCCCTATACATCTTTTTCAAAGGACACAGTGACATTGCGCCTACATCTGGTGTTTATCCCCAAAGTTAATACGTCTTTTCATATCAATGAGTCTATAGTTTTAACCTCCTTTTATCCTAAGCCGCACGCTTCTCCCTCAGAGACCTTGTTACACATGCTCGACATGCGACGAGTTCTCTCCTTTTACATAGAGACCCCAGTCATGGATACGTGCGGACAGGCTGCTCGTGTCACTAGCACAACGTTCCAAAGGCAACCCTCTTCGAGTCAACGTATAGCTAGACTTATCACTACTTGCATCACGACATGTCATTCACTCAAAGGAAAGCCACTCGCTTCTCAGCCTATTGCTCATTCCACTAGAGCGGTTGCCACCTCCACCGCTTTTGCCCAAGGCATCCCCCTTAGCAACATTTGCTGGGCAGCCATCTGGTCCTCTAGCACTTCTTTTGTGCATCATTACGCTATAGTGCAGCGCTAGGTCTCAGACACGGCAGTAGCGTCTGCGGTTCTAGCCTCTGCACAGAATCATTGACCCGGTGCGCATCTTGACTATTGCTTTGTAGTCACCTAGAGTGGAGCACCCACGGGGACTACCCTAAGAAGAAAGGGAAATTACTCACCTTGTGTAGTAACGATCGTTCTTCGAGATGTGTCCCCATGGGTGCTCCACGTCCCGCCCTCCTCCCTACTTCGGGTCAGTCCCTACTTCCTGTCTAGTTACTGATTCTGGATGGTGAGAGGAACTGACGGAGGGGCCGGACCGCACGATGGGAGAAACGGGTGAACGGCGCGCGGCGGCTACTGCGCATGCGCGGTCCGGCTGACTACAGCTACGAAAAGCCTCCGATCAGCGGAGCCAGGACGAGCCCGACACGTAGAGTGGAGCACCCATGGGGACACATCTCGAAGAACAATCGTTACTACACAAGGTGAGTAACTTCCCTTTCTGGTGTAATAATTCCTGAGTTTAGAAACTATGTAGCACTTTAAAGACTAACAAGATGGTTTATTAGATGATGAGCTTTCGTGGGCCAGACCCACTTCCTCAGATCAAATAGTGGAGACATTTACCTTCCCCTCCTCCCCCGCATTCCCCTTCTGTTCTGAAATTTGATTTGTCCTTTTCATATGTGATGTGTTCACTTTTTTTTTAATTGTATCCTTTGGTATATATGGTTGTGACTATTTTCTTCCACTATTTTATCTGAGGAAGTGGGTCTGGCCCACGAAAGCTCATCATCTAATAAACCATCTTGTTAGTCTTTAAAGTGCTACATAGTCCTGTATTTTGTTTCAGCTACACCAGACTAACACAACTACATTTCGATCACTTGAGTTTAGAGAGACCTTTAAAAACATATATTAAGACGATAAATGTGGTTTGCAGATAAAGATGTGTCCATTAGACTTACACTATTCAGACATTTTAATTATTTTCTGCTTTCTAAATGTATGAGAGAAATTCCCTGCGACAGAGATAGTAGCATTTGCTGTATTTTGTACAGTGCAAAGCATACTAAAGTTTAAAATTTTTCTTAATTTAAAAACTTACTACCAAACAGTTCTGTTTCTTGACTCCATTAATTGTAATATAAATTAAAATGATTAACAGACTAAAGTTAGAAAATAATGTCCTCTTCTTGAAATTTAAAAAGAAAGTATTGAATTATTTACATACAATTATAATATTGTATTAATACAGATGTAATAAACGATATCTTCCATAGCTTTAAATAGGGATGTTAGCATGTAGACATCTACATGATTAACCAATAAGCCTGAGCTCATCGGTTAATCCTAATGGCTTCATACCCTCTGCACCTCCCTTTCGGCCTCCTGTGGGGCCCTCTTCTCCCCCCACTGCCTCCCACAGCCGGTGCTGGGGGGAGGGGAGGGAACAAGCTTAAAAGGCAGCTCACCACGAGTACCGGCTCCTTCAGAGTCACTCTTTTCCCCCCTCCCTCCCCTCGCCTCACGCTCCTCCCGGTACTGCTGCCTTGGATAGAGAGGAAGCAGTACGGCGGATTTCAAACCACATACTGGCTCCCAGGAGCAGTGTGCCCCCATCATGTGTAAATGTGTAACGGCTGAAATTTTTTTCAGCCGTTACACGTTTAGAAAGAGAAATATTTGTTAACATTCCTAATCTTAAATTACCCTTGGCATATCAGCTGTAGCATTTATTGACCTGCTAATTTTCATCTTTAAAGCGGCACTAACTAGAAATACTAAATACAGTAAAACTCCGATGGTCCGGCATCTGATGGTCCGGCACTCCTGATGATCAGGAACCCGGAAGTGCTCCGGGCAGCCGGACCATTGGATCTGCTCTGCCCTCAGCTTCTCCGATTCAGCCGCTGCTAAAACTGAACAGCGGCTGAATCAGGAAAGCCGGGGCAGAGCAGCTGGGTCGCTGCCGGGTTGGTCCTGTAGCGCTGCCCCTCCGGGCTGCTGCTGGACCAACCCGGCAGGCACCCCAGCTGTCCCCGATTCAGCCGCTGCTGAAACTGATCAGAGGCTGACTCCAGGAAGCCCGAGGCAGAGCTGCTTGATCAGTTTAAGCAGCGGCTGATTTGGGGACACCTGGGGTAGAGCAGCTGGGGTGCTGCCGGGTTGGTCCAGTAGCGCCGATCCTCGGCGCTGTGGGACCAACCAGTCAGCCCCCCAGCTGCTCTGCCCTAAGCATCCTGTTTCATTTTCCCCCTCCCCCCCACCCAAGACCTCTCATAGCCCCCCTTACGATAGTCCGGCAAATCTGATAATCCGGCACCCCCTGGGTCCTAAAGGTGCCAGATTATCAGAAGTTTACTGTATAAATTAATTTGTCCTTCGTGGTACCATTAATGTTACACACACATTTATTGTCTTATTCTATCTGTAAGAGCACTGAAAAAGGAGCAAAGAGAACAGAAATCACCTGATCTCCCCAGTGGAGACCTTACACCTCTCTTGATATGGGTCAGGATGGGTTGTGTCCATAATGGACTGCTCTCTGGCTATCCCAAGATGGAAGACCGTTCTTTGGAGATTGTTGGTTGCTGACATAGTTATTAGAGCAACTCACACTGTTCTAATCTGAGGTGGGTGCTGAACCAGAGCTGAGCGCTGGAAAGTAGGGATGTCGATGTGTAGTTGACTACACGATGAAATCATAAGTCTGAGCTTATCAGTTGGGCTTATCAGTTAATTTTACCAACTACACGCACCCCCGCCTTGTTATTAGAGGCAGCAAGGGACAAGGAGGCGGGCACCAATAGGAGTGGGAAGACAGCTTTTAAGCTGCTCTCCATGTCTGCCAGCTCCGAGGAGCAGTCTGCCCCCCTTTACCTTCCTCCACTGCCTCCCACAGTGTGCATCCCTTGAATGAATTAACTGGCTAGTTGAACTTCAGTCACATTACTAATAATTGAATGTGACCTTGTAAATATGCACAACACACTCTATTCCCAAAAGATTACATTCAGTGGATGGAATTTACCCTTCATTTGGGTGACTTTTTTATAAAAGACCCTGAAGTCTTATGGAGGGCCTACAATATGGGGTATGTAGTTATTGGAGATCAAGCAGGGATCAAAATAATTATTAACGTAACTGAAACACATAGAATGAATTATTCCATAACAATGTGTAGGTAAGCTATGGAACTTACTGCCTCAGGACATAATTTATTCAAAGTGTATGACTGGCTTTTATATTTTGTGACCACAGACTCATTTATAGTTATCCATGCAAAATAAAGTTATTTGAACCTCACTGCTGCATCTTGCTTTTGAAGTCGTGATATAAAATTTGATTGGCTAATGAACTGATCACATATGATAGATCCTAAATTGGAAGGTTAAAGGATCTCAAAAGAAGTATGGGTTTTTTTCCAGTTATCTGGGAAAACAATACAGAAATGGAATGACTTTGAAGTGAGGATCCCCCATGATACAGAGAAATAAAGTAAAGTGGTAGCAGGGAAAAGAAGGCCAAATAAGAAGGAATATTTTTAATTTTATGATGAGTTTTGAAAGCCTGTTACAATAAAAATATACAGTGTGTTTATATAGTTATAAGGTGTCTGTTCTGGACACCAGCACACTCTAATGTGGTGGCTCTGAGGTTCTAGCTCCATTGTGAATAATAGTCTTTTATTTGTAATTTCTACAAAGAATAGAGTATCTCACTAACCTGAGATATTTGTTCTATTAAGAAACCTTTGAGAAGAATATTCATTGAAGAAGTTGGTGATGAGATGCAGAATATTGATTTGCCTAACCCTAGTACTCTAGCCAATAATTGGATTAATTCTACAAACATCGAAACAACAAAGAATCAAAGTCAAAATGACCTCTTAACCTCATCTGATACTCCAAAAGCAAAACAATTGAAAATAGAAGAAATCAGTGATAGACCAGCCTGTCAGTGAGTATAGTAAAGTCTTCTGGTGTTCTCGAATTTGATAAGCAAACATAGCTGGGTATGTATTAATTGCTTTGAATGTTGCACCAAAAAACCTTGCTTAAATGTAACTACTATATTGTTTGTCATCTTGTAGCTGTATGCACTTTGTTTTGAAGGATTTATTTAGGAATATGTTTATGCATTTGTGTGTGATAATTTTGAAACAAAAACATGAGTCTTTTAGATACAGCGGACAAGTTGTTAGATTGTTTTGCTCAGGTATTCCAAATAACTGAGGTAAGTTGTGTAATTTTCATCTATACTAATGCTTCATTTCCTGTGCATTATATCTTACGTCAGTTACTTCAGTTGGGAATTTTAGGGCAACATTCTAATTCTGCACATGGAGGAGATTTGGGGAGGCAATAAAGATGATATTAAAGCTATTTTATCACCTCTTCTCCAGTTGTGTAGGTAACCAGTAGTCTCATGTCTGCTCCAAGTACTGTTGACTGATAAGAGCTCCCAAGGAGCCTGTGGCAGCAGCATGCCTTTCTGGCCCACCACTATTTACCATGCCTTAGCTTTCTCCCAGGTGGTTTCCATCAGCCCCCGTGGCGAGCTACTGGTGATGAATTTAAACAATAATCCCAAGTGAACCATAAAAAAAAAAAATTCTCCATTCTTCTTGGCCTAAGCTCTCAGGTGTTTCCCACTCTCCACAGAGCACTGACTCTCTAGGCATTTTCCACATGGGAGCCTCCCTGCTTCCAGGGTCAGTCATAGGAGCCAGTCTCCTTCCTGAAACCCTCAGTACACAAGTTTGTCTGACGGGGAGCTACGTTTCTCAAGAACCTACTAGAAGATCAGCCTGCCTCCCCCAATCAAAGTCTTGCAACCCTTTGAGGTCTTCCCATAACTTCTTCCCAGCTCTCTAGGGGTACGTCTATATTTGCGCCCAAGTTCGAATTAGGGATGCAAATGTAGGTGACCAAAATTGCTAATGCAGCGGGGATTTAAATATCCCGCGCTTCATTAGCATAATCTCGCCAGCACGTTACTCCGCTCAACAGCTGTTCCGAAAGTGAAAGTGCGCACCGTGATGTGTTAGTTCGAACCAAACCCCTAACACGTCCCGGTGCGCACTTTCACTTTCGGAACAGCTGTTGAGCGGAGTAACGTGCTGGCGAGATTATGCTAATGAAGCGCGGGATATTTAAATCCCCACTTCATTAACAATTTCGGTCACCTCCATTTGTATCCCTAGTTTGAACTAGGGTACAAGTGTAAACATACCCTAGCAGATGAGGATCAGCTGGAAGGAGAAGGTAATTGACCTGTCTTGGACTAGGCTGATACTGACTCTCTCCTTAAAAGACCAGCCAGCTTGTGACAGGGTCATTTTCGTTCTGTAGTGGAATCATCCCTTGAATGACTCCTAAATCATCCCTGGGTATGGGCTGGACGGGGTGACACAGAACCAGTAAAGATAGTGCCCTACACCCAGGTTTTAAGAATCCTTGGTTGGCTGGTTTGAAGAGTATTTCCCAGGCTCTTTGAACGGTCAGAGAACTTTAATATGGTATTCCTTGCCTCTTTTAACGTGCTTTTACTGACTATAAAACTCAAGTGTATATCTTTTTTTCTCCCCTGAACAGTTGAATGGATTTATTTGGTAGTATTTAGGGCAAAAGTACATTTTTACAGCCACGTTCTAACTGCTAAAAATATACTGATAGAAAAGACAAATAAATTATAGGAGAACAAATGGCTGCACTGTAATCAGTGTTGAAAATGTTTTCACTTTTGACATGCTTATTGTTTTGCATTATGAAATTGCAAAGAAAACTTATTTTTGTATTCTTGCAGCTGTGAGGGGAAAATTTCTGTAATGCTGATATATATTGAATGTAGAAGCTTTGTACACTAAAACAGGGTTACTTCTGGAAATAAAGTAAATATGTAGCATATACTTTTTCAGGACTAGAAAATCATTTAAGTGGACAAGTGAAAATTATACTTTAACAAACGTTTAATTAATTCCATTAAGTATGTTTGTTTGCTTTTATTTCAAAATTTAGGAATATTTTAATCTGGAAAAAATAATTGTTTTTTATAGAAAATATTACCAAAACCTTGAAAGTGAGGACATTTGTTAAGGCTTAGGTTTGCAAAAGAGGTGTGGTACTCAATAGCTCCAACTAAGACTCATTTATGAAATGGCCTGAATTTTTAATTTAAAATGTATATTTAAATATTTTAGAGTTCCTACCAATATGAAAGATATGTCATCAGCTACACCTCAGTTCTCCAGTCTGAAAAATCATCTAGACAAAGAAAATAAAATATCACTTCCCGTGTCTACATCTGATGTCCCTGCAATCCCTGCAAATTCATTCCAGCTTGAATCTGATTTCAGAAAATTGAAAGGCTGCCCAGATAAGATGTACATGTACCTAAAGGTAAGAGAAATAATAGTATATGACTGCTACTATGCTTAAAGAAATAGTCTCTTTTTATATTAGTAGATTGAGAAATTAGCATCTAAGGCTGTGTCCAGACTCAAGGGTTTTTCGAAAAAAAGCATTCTTGAATGCAAACAGGGCTTTTTAGAAAGAGAGCATCCAGACTGCCTGGGTGATTTCTTTCGAAAAAGCGGCTTGCTTTTTCAAAAGTACTGCTTGCAGTCTAGACGCTCTTTTTCGAAAGAGGCTTGCAGTCTAGACGTAGCCTAAATGATTTAACAATTCTTAGGTGTTAATATCCTTATCATGATACCAAATAGCCTTGACTCCACATGAAAATAATTTTCATTCTGTGCTTAAGTTTGTTTTATTTCAAATTTTAAAACATAAGTCTATAAATAGTGCCCTAATTTTTTATTTTTTTTAATCCCTTCCAAATTATGTAAACTTGCATCTTGGTATCCACATTGAACTTGAATTGCTCACGTGTGTGTTTGCTGGATTGGAATTATAGCATTAACGAATACCAGTATTCTTTAAAGTGTTTTGAACTGCTTTGAATTAATTTTTTGAAGGAATGTTTGTTTATCCTTTGTTAATTTACATTTTTTTTAAACAATCATATGCATCTTGTAAAAAGGTACAAGTTAATAAAATAAAATGAGTAGCTCTAGGAAGAGAAATATATCTCCTTGTAATTACAGCTGTCAATTTAACAGAATAGAAGGACGTATGACTAATAGGCCAAAATGTATTCTTGTAGCTTTTATTATTCATTTTCAGAAGGGTCCATGATGTTGATAGGCACTATAAAGTATGTGGAAGGGAATGGACCCTACTTAGGAGAGCTTAAAATTATTTGTTTCGGTTTTCATGATTGAATCATGTTTTATATCTATAAATAACAATGTTTTTATTCTTCCAAAGCAAATAGAGCCTTCGCTTTACCCTAAGCTGTTCCAAAAATCCTTAGATCCAGATGTCTTTAACCAGATTTTGAAAATTCTGCAAGACTTTTACATTGAGTAAGTTCAGTTCTTTACTAATTATCTTAGGGTTTTATATTGCTTGCTGCCAACATAGGCTTTTTCTGTTTGCCTTACAGAACATATTGTTGATACTCTGATAGCTAAAAGCATATAACACTGGCTTATCTAAATGTATTCCTGAAGAAATTAACTTTCAATACAGAAGAGTATTTCAGAAGGACTAGCTAGGGGAAAATTGGTAATAAAAAGCCTTTTGATTTAGTCATTGGTTAAACTTCATATTGTCTCAGTAGTGACTACTGACTGTCTACTCAGTGATTTATTTAAAAATTATTTGTTTTTATTCGACAGCACATTCCATTAGCACAGAATTCATTTTTAAAACAATTCAGTATAGTTCAAAGAAGAGCAAAAAAACTAAGAAATTCAAACAAATTTCATTACTTTAGCTGTCTTCATTGTCATGTGTTCAGTGTCTTGGTTTTTATTTTTGTACTTTGTAACAGAACACATAGAAGTAGCAAGCATGTGTGTGGAAATGGAAATCTTAATATTAAGAAAATAAAAAGCATTTAGCAATAATTTCTGTCATGTTTCAGTGCTGCATAAAATTCATTCGCTCATTATGAATAATTTGCCATTCCTCTGAATAAATGTGGGCTCTAAAAATGTTATGTTTATTATTATGCAGAGTGGCAAGTGTAAATTAAGAGTCAGGGTATAGGCTGGCAACAAATTTTGGCCAATCAAAAGCAAATCATGCGGGTGAATCACCACACCTGAAGAGGCATGTCCTTCATTCGGTGTTATTACATGCATGGCTGCTAAAGAGTGAATTTATTGGGAGCAGAAAGATAAAACTAGTTTTTAAAAGGAGGGGAATGTGAGGTATGAAGAAGAAAGAAGATAACTTGTAGTCATTGATAGTGAAAGAGGAAGGTAAGTGATCTCACATGCTAACATTGTCAAAAAAAAATCCTGATACCTTTTCCTTAGTGCTAAAAATGAGAGCAATTATGCATTCTGATTACTAGGCACATCACCACAATCAAATTGCTAGGTTCCCATTAAAATATCTCTCCTTATTTTACCCCTGAAACCCTATGGATTTCTATACATTTAATCAATAGATCATGATCTGTAGAGGTCTAAAGTGGTAAGTCAAGTGTATTTCTTACTACTAAGGCAGTTTACTTAACACAGTTTGTATGAGCACGTGTTTCCGAGGGAAAAGCCGTAAATTGCATTATCTGTTGCTTCCATTTTTGTTTGGAAACAACATGAATTTTATTTTTCCTCTTCATTATCATGAGCCAGGAATAACAGCTCAAAGGAAAAGTTCAACAAGAAACACACACCTTAAGCACCAGTCTTTTGGGTACTGAAAAGTATGATTTGATATACAGGCAGTCCCCGGGTTACGTACAAGATAGGGACTGTAGGTTTGTTCTTAAGTTGAATTTGTATGTAAGTCGGAACTGGTACATATTGTAGGGGAAACTCTAGCCAAACATTTCTCCAGAGCTCAGTTTTATTCTCCCACACCTCACTTCCCTCAGTCCTTTATTCTCAAGCTGAGGTGTCTGCTGAGAAAAGCCACTCTGCATCTCCCTGGTCTGCTGGGGAGGGGCGCTAGCTTCACGTCTCCCTGGTCTGCTGGGGGGAAGCAGCTAGTGCAGGGTTGCCTCACCCCGTTTGTAAGTAGGGATCCGATGTAAGTCGGATCCATGTAACCCGGGGACTGCCTGTATAGGAATAGTAATAGCTAGTGCATGATTTCATGTTTATGCCTTGTCAACTTACCTCCTTTCTGCATTTTTTTATCTTTATCTATTACTAAAAAATATTTGTTCTGTAGCTTGAAATATATAATCCTTTTTATAGCTATTGAATCTTTCTAATCAGAAGTAGCTATTTGCATATGTATTTAATAATCTTTTATTTTAGGAAAGAGAAACCAACGCTTATCCTTGAAATTCTCCAGAAGCTATCTGAAATAAAAAGATTTGATATGGCAGTGATGTTTATGTCAGATTTGGAGAAAAAAAGTAAGCACAAAGTAATGTTGAATTTTATTTTTTTTAAGACATTGGATCTTGGCATAGGTCTTGTTTCAGCCAGAAACAATAAATTTCAGTATCAGTTCAGTTTATAATGATGATGCAAATAGACATACAAATTCTTATTTATTTATACTTCACAGGCAGCTTTAACTACATGCTTCTAAAAAGATTTTCAGTTTATTTTGTGAGAGGTTGGAGAGGGAGAACATCAGTCTAAAAGCACTGAACTCAACTATTCTGAGAAGGGAAAGTTTCACCACTGTGTAGTGACAATTATTGCCTATACAGTTGTGAAGCTGACACATTCCAGACAAATCATATCCTCCTTGACTGAGTGATCAGTTTATTTATGGCTTTTGTAAATGGGTTTTAAAAAAAGGAAGAAATGGAGACCTATCCTTAGGATACTGTCTGGGCTTGAAGAAAGAGTCTAAGCCCAGAAAGAATCACTGTAATCATTTAGTATGATCTTTGGTATAACACAAGCCATGGAACTTCACCAAAAGAATTCCTAGAGCAGAGCTTTTAGAACATTTTGAATACTTTTGAAATGTAGAAATTCAATCTAGATGATTTTGAATTGCATATGCATGCTTGATCAAATCAGCTGTTTTAAATGTGCTGTTTAGAGATTTTCAATTTTGGGATCTCCTTAAAACTCAAACTAACAGCCAGAAAAGACATGCTGGTTATGACTACCATTTTCAATATTAAGTAGCAATGTTGTATACAAACCCCAATAGCTGCCATTGTAATCGAGCACAATATAGTACAAATATGCAAGATGTCATACCTGATTGCCACTAAATCATGTTTGAGAAGAAAATCTTTAAAATGTTTGAGTGAAACTCCTTTATTAATTGCAGTACTGTGTGCTGCTACCTTTGAATTTTCCCCATCAGTGTAATAACAAGGCACAACTTGTTGTAAAAAGGCCTTTATTTACGTTAGAGAACGCCAAAAGGAAATACAATGACTTGCCATTTGAAAACAAAAACCCAAAAATTGATTCTGTCTTGGGACAGGAGAAGGTTGTTAGGCTAAAACAGACCCTTGATTTGCATGGCTGGTCCTAGCTGTAATGCAGCTTAGAACTACTTCATAGCAGCTATAACTTAAGCCATTGGAAAAGAATCATTAATATACCTTGTCAATTGATAATTGCCATCATAGATCTCCTCCCTGGCCCTCCTGCACTGTTGTTCCTCCACCATTTTAGTCCCTCTACATTCTGTTGTAGGATATATGCCTCGGGATCTGCAAAAGTACACATACTCTAGCAGAGATTCTGTGTTTCGGGGACATCTCTGCTGGACATTTGCAGCTACATTATGATCCCTCTGTACTACTTTTATGCAAAGGGCTGTAACCTACCTTGAGAATTTTGCCCCAATACCCTTGTTAAAAAATTGTGTGGGTGTGTTTTAATATTGGTTGTTTTCCTATGTAATGAATAAATCAGATTCTACTGGATTCCTCTTAGCATCTTTTGAATATTAGTCATACAGTGTAATTGTTTTCTGACATCTATTTTTTTCAGTTAATTTTATTTTTGAGAAATCTAACACCTATATGAACACTAATTAGTGTTAGAGATTGACATCTTCTGTTTTGTCAGAGAACATATTTAAGCAGACAGTGAAAGCATCTCTAAATTGTTCTTCCAGTATGCATCAGCACTTTTCTTCAAGCATCACCTCAGTTAGTTCACAGGAGTTTTACTCTTTACGCCTTGATCATTCTTTCTTTCGTACAGCAAGCCATTATTTTCCGAAAGATCCCTTATTCCTGATTTTAAGAGGAATAAGGGATCTTTCAGAAAAGGCTTTATTTTCCGAAAGATCCCTATCTAGACTGGCGCTTTTTGCCGGCAAAGCCCTGAGCCGGAAAAAAGCGGCAACCATGTTAATGCAAATGAAGCGGGGAAGATTTAAATCCCCGCTTCATTTGCAATTGCGCTGTGTCTAATTTGCATCCCTTTTCCAGAAAAGGGATGCAGTCTAGACACAGCTATGATGTATATGTTTGAATATTTGTCTACTTCGGGTCTGTACTGAGACCATCAGTTTTATGCACATAAGCCATTTGGTGCCTTCCATCTATTGCTGATAAATGTACATTTAAAAAAAATTAGGAAATTACTACATTCAGCTGAGCTTTACTACATCTACCACTCTTTCAGTGTAATAAAAAATGACCCTCTTGGACAAATTGTCTTTTGCAAGGAAGCCTTCTCATGACTTGAAATTTTTCTACTTTTTTACTTCAGTATATTTTTTATTACTGCTTATATTTGAATAGACAGTTTTATTTTATGCCAATTTTGTTTGACAACTGGCACACACTTTTTACCTTCTGTTTTAATATCATAAAGACAAGATAGCTTGTATCTTATTTTTTCTGTTTTTTACCATCAGGAATAGACATCAGTTTAAGGAATTATGGGGCTTTTTGGCTTATTACTTGCTGTCAGAGGACCTTTAGTCATAGTTTAGAGCACCAAAACAAAAATGACGACTGTTGCCATTTGGTGGATTTTTTTGTTTGTTTTGTTTTTGTTTTCAGTTTTATAGACAAATATTGTTTTAACTAGTTCCTATTGATCTAATAAATCTAGATGACATACTAAATGTGTTAGCTTTTTAAAAAAAGAGACATTTTCTGTAACAGATTGTTCGTAAACTTAAAATCTTATAGTGTGTCTAAAAAAACTAAAAATGGAAAGCCATGTTAATTTTTATCCTCTCTTACAGCTGCACATGCATTGTTCAGTTACGTGAACCAATCAGGATTGGAGAACAATACTGTTGAAGAGCTGAAGAAGAAATACGGTGTTCAGTATTAATGAGATTATTGATGTTACATATTTTATATATGTGAAGTAGTCTGATTCTGCACCTATTCTCTGAGCAACTTATCCTGAAGTCAGTGGAAGAATTACATCCATAAAGTTGCATTTATATAGGTAATGAAATCCTTATAACAGACATAACCAAACGGCAAGTGCCTAGAAAGAATAATGGCTTATGTACCAATTCTTCAGTTGTGTCCATTATTTCAGCGCCCTTTTGTTTCCAGTGTGACCCCTTTCCCCCCCAGGCCTACGTGCCCACTTGAGCAGAATGAACTATAGGATTAGGGCAATAGACTCTGGGTTATTCAGAAATAAAATTAATTATTTATAAACTGTGAGTTTTGGTAAGAATGATTAACTTGATGATTACAAGATCAGCATGAGTTTTATTTTGGGAAATAAACTGAACAGTGTTTAATTCAAAATACCAAAATTGGCTGGTATAACGTATTTTAACATAAAATGTACTACTTAACTTACATTTCTCAGATTAGCTAAATTTAGCTTTAAATAGATGCTATGCGGGACAATATGAAAACTTCAGCTGATGCTCAGCAAACTTGAGGTCTTATTGTCAATAAATTCCAAATGTCTTTTGCTGACTTCTGGGCACTGACAGCTGAACTGCCCCAGTGAACCTCAACCTCTGCAGCAGTACAAAAGGAAGCTCTATTAAGTGACGAGATACCAAACAATAAAAGGTTTAAAAATATTCACTAAGACCCTAAATTGCACCTGTGGCTGAATGAAAATATATAAAATGTGAATATATATCATACTGTACGGAGGGCACAATTCTTAACATAGTTCTATCAATCCATCCCCTTTACAAGTTGGGCCAGTAGTTCTGCAGCTGAAGCTTTGGGGTGCTTCTTATGGGCTGTTTTAAGCAGAATAATAATGCAGCATGGAGAGGACAAAGGAATAGAGTAATGGTAATACACACATCTGTGAGGAAATGTCAGATAGCAAAGGCACTACAAGCAGAACCTCCTATCTGCGTAACCAAACGACGAAAAAATGTATTACAGCCTTAGCATGGAGAGAGATAGTAGAAAACAGCTGCACTAAATTCCCATTTTCATGTTCTGGCATAGTTTTGGAAGTGTGACCAACACTTACTAACATTCTTTCTAAGCCGGTTTGCTCTCCCCTTGGCTATCCTTGGTTAAGCAATAACAAAGTGGAGTCAGAAGAATTGTTATTCATTGAAAGAATATATTGATCACTTTGTTCAGCAATGCCATTTCATGGAGGGGTTAATGCTTTGCCCATAATCATACAGAAGACTTATAACATTCACAGAAAGAATTCAAACTTCTTTCTGACTTAGAGAGGATAATTGGCTGGTTAAATCTGGAAGTCCTGAGTGGTCCTAAACTCTTAAGGTTTTTTCAGCACTTTAGTGGTAACTGATTACAATTGTTAAATTATTTAGTTTTTAATTCTCCAAGTTGGATATAATCTAAAGAAAAAATATATGCAAGGCAACCTTCTTGTTCAGTGTTTGTACAGCTATAATATAATGAGGCCCTACTGGGGCTCCTAGGCATTATGATAAAAATAAATAATTCATAACAGTTGGACCAGCTCCTCAGTTGTGCCCAGGCAGTGCCTGATGCTGCTGGGAGGGACAAGGGAGAACAAAGGTAACAATGTCCCACCACTTTACCTGGAGCTAATCCAGCCAATATTGTCATTAGGGAAATGTCAGGATCTTATTTCAGAGCTAATGAACCTTTACAGAGGAAATCCTACTTGTAGCCTCTCTACCACCTTAATTCTGCTCCCTATTGTATGTATATGTTATGAGTAAGTTAAATGATTGCATAGCATTTTTTTTCTGCAGTACCTCCCAGTCTCAATCAATGCAGAAAAGTTTGTGTGTGCTTCCTGAATGGATAACTATGCAGTATTTCTTTTTATCCTTGTTTTCTGAGTAGCCCTCATATTTGTCACACTTTCAAAGGGACCTGTGCTTTTGAAAATCACACCCTTTATTCTAAGGGCCGCATTCAGGTTGCACAGACAAACTTAATTCTGGTAGTTTCTATCTTTTGAGTGCTTGATTTTTCAGTCTGTGGTGTTTTTAAATAACTTTGTAAAAATCTAGAACAGCTAACAAACCAATAAAACTTAAGTAGAACAAGATGGACATAGCCAAAGAGTGAGTGTGTGTGTGTTGGTTTTTTGTCCTTGTGTGTGCTCTCATTTTTGCTGCATTCTTGCTGCCTGCTATATATTCAGGTTATAGCAATAGATCAAAAGCATTAACTGGAATCTGTCATGGCATCTTTGTGGTATACTGTAGCTGTACAATTCTTTAACTTTACAAGAAGTTGTTGCCACGGTTGATCAAGCTTTTGCAAATGAGTTGGTGCATTATAGGGATATCCTACCTGTACCCCTTTTTTTAATGTCTACACTGGTTATGCTGGAAACAGTGAAAAGGTGCTGCTTAAGAGCTTCTGTGCCACTCCTGCACCATCAGACTCTCCCCCTTATGTTGGCATATCTGCCAGTTTGACAGTCAGAATGCCCCCATTAGCATGTCACAGAACACCTTAGCTGATCTACTAAATTAATTTTTTTCCCTTCCATAAATGTCATTATAGAGCCTTTCTGTCTTGGAGGGGTCTCTATTAAAAGGGATTTGTGGAACTCCTTATTCATTGTATCTCACTAATTCACATTCTAACCATGTGTTGTCTCTTCCTACTTCCTCCATCCACTTTCTTCCTTCCCTGAGATCAGACAGTGGGACTAACTCAGTTTATCAAGTTTAGACTTTCTGCAGGCCAAATTATACCCCCATCTACACATATGCAATTCCATTGTGTTTAGATTATGTCTTCAGTAATGCTTTCCTAACCTCAATATCTTTCTGGTCCAATGTTTTCACAAACGCTTAGGAGAACAAAATGCAACCTGAAGAATCTTGTTTTTGCTGTTGATGATCCAGGAAACAGAGAATTCACTTTGACTCCTCTTGTCTCAGGACATGTCTACACTAGTAGATTATTTTGAAATACCTAAATTTGAAATAACTCCCAAAATAACAAAATCAAAATAATATGCCCCCACTATCGGGGAAACCATGAAATTAGTCTGAGGCAGGCTCCATTATTGTGGACATGCTACTTCGACTTAGAGCCCCTGAAACCACTGGGAAGTAATTACTTCAAATTACTCTGGGGAGTAGTTATTTTGAAATAGCAGCAACTGAGCATCCACACTAACTATTTTGAAATAAGTGTTTTGAAATAAATGTTATTCCCCAAGGAAAGCATAAGTACAGAATTTGAAATAATCAGCCTGTTCAAAATAATGGGCTTGCTAGTGTCGATGTTCTGCGTATTTTGAAATAACTCCCTTGTGTAGACCAGGGTCAAGAGTAGTTGTTTGATACTGCAGGACAAATTCAGCCTCAATGTAAGTAGCTGTCATTCTGCTGAAGACAATGGAGTTGCACCATGGATGGATTTAGCTCTTTGTCTTGTACTTAGGTGCTGCTTAGACCTATGAAAATGAAGGGTCTTAAAATTCATGGATACATTTAATTATACTTTGCATTTTCTTCTCATCCCTAGTCATTTGTTTCAACTTGACTGAGTACTGGAGCACTCTTTTCTGCTTTTTTTCTATTATACTCCTTTGCTTCCTCACCGTATTTCTCATTCAATCATTTGCACTAGCTCTCCCTGTTATTTCTGTCACCTTCAGTTGGACTCTTCCTTTGATTTTTTTTTTCTCTCTCTCTCCCTGTGCCCTTTCTACCTTATGTCAAGTTCAAAACACTTCTTTCTTCTCCACTTTATACCCTCTCTTTTAATCAGTACTGTGAAGCTGAACCTCTAAGAGTGTAATTTGATGACTCCTCTTTGTTTTTCTAAAAGTATTTTCTCAAGGCTTTTATGTTTTCTAAAAGCAGCTTTCAAGTATTCTGCCTTTAAGGTTCTAGTTTACAGCTATCTTTATTTTCCTCAAGCAGCTTGATTTAGAAGTAGAAGCAAACAACCGTATCTGCTAGGGAATTCTTTTCCTTTCCTGCTTTTTAAGGTGGTTCCCAAATTCCCTGGTAGAAGGATAATCTTACGGGAATCTTATTTCTTTCCAAACAGTAGCATCAGACAGTGATTCTTTTCCAGACATCTTCAGTTTTCAGACCTTCTCTCCCCCACTACATCAATAGTTTAGTTAATGGTGTTTATCTGGATTATATTAAAAAGTAAGACTCCGTACTGCTTGTACTGATGTTGCCGTAACTGTGAAGAATCCCACCCAAATACTGGTAAATTGATAAACATAGATACAACTATGGCAAAACCTCACCAATATATTCTAATGTCTGTGGTTTATAAATGGTCAAATAAGAACCCATCTTACAAATGGAGCCAGCTGGGGTCTGGTTATATGGCTCTGATCAGGGTCTAAGTGAACAAATACATACAAAAAACGTCAGCCTGCTATGCCAGGCTATCAAGCATTCTTTAACCTCTCTCTCTTTCTCACCCAGCTGCAGACATAGACTGAAATCAGCTCTGTGGCTACGTCTACACTACAAGGTTTTTGCGCGAAACCAGCCATTTTTGTGCAAAAACCCACGGAGCGTCCACACTTCAAGTATATGTTTGTGCAAGGAAATCAACAGTAAAATGGCAGAACAGATGACTTTTTGTGGTGTAGGTAAACCTTCTATGAGGCATAACTTTTTTGTGCTACAGCTCTTGTGCAAAAAGGCATGTGTGCATGTTCCACAGGGGTTTCTTGTGCAAAAAGAGCCTTTCTGAAAAAGCACAGGTGCTCTGGTGGCCATTCTGTGACTGACCATCAGATCTTTCTTGCGCAAGAGTGCCCATGCAGTGTGGCTGCTCTCTTGTGCAAAACCACATCACTTTTGCAATGTGCTGTTGAGGTGTGGGCGCACTTTTGCGCAAGACGTTTTTGTGTAAGAACTCTTCCACAAACTACTTCTTGCACAAAAACCCTGCAATGTAGACCTAGCCTGTGTGAGAGGATTCAGCTTGTGGATTTACTCTGCACTCATACACTCCTCCTTTGTAGTGCAAATCCAAAATAACATTGTCTTGTGCTGTACAGAGTTTTGTCCAATGCAACTGCATACAAAATGTCTCCCTGAATGTGGAAGGGAGTTATGCTTTACCTCCCTTCCCTCCAATATCAATTGCTTGTTTTGGGATGAACAAAAAGTATTAACTACAGAAGGTAAATTTTTATTGATTATAAGGGATAGCAAACAGGACAAAGCAGAATAGTGAGCAAATAAAACATGAAAACTAATCTTAATATACCAAAGCAACAAGTTACACACTAATTTGAAACCCTAAATTTTGTTTTAGGCAGTTTGCAGAGTTTCTGCAGCTCAGAGCTTATTATTTCTCTTACAGCAGTGGTCCCCAACCTTTTTAAGCATGAGATCACTTTTTGAATTTAAGCACAACCCAGGATCTACCTCAAACCCGAATACCCTTGCCCCCTCTCCTTCCCACCCCTTCTCCGAAGCCTTGCCCCTGCTCACTCTGTCCTCCCTCCTCACTCGCTTTTATCAGGCTGGGGGCAGGGGTTTGGGGTGCAGGAGGGGTTCAGGTCTGGGGCCAGGGTTTGGAATTTGAGCTCCAGCTGGGCACTGCTTACCACAGGGGGCTAAGACAAGCTCACCCCTATCCTAACCCTGCACCACTCCCAAAGCAGCCAGCAAACTCTCTCCATCCCTGCCCCCCTCTGCTCTGTGAAGATGGGGTACAAGGTGGAGGGAGGGACACCCTGACATCAGCACTCCCTCTTCTTCTTCCTGTGCCCTGTACAGCAAGCAGGAAGCTCCCAGGGGTGAGGGGCACCTCCAAGGCAGAGGGCAGGAGTAACACGGCAGTGCTGAGGGGAAGACGAAGTGCCAGCACTTGATAGCCTCCTGGCCAAACCTCTCAGGATCACCTGTCAGAGGTTCCAAGATCTACCAGTAGATCATGATCTACTGGTTGGTGACCACTGTCTTACAGCCTAAACCCTTATCATAACCTAGACCCAGCCATTGTCTCTCCCCAGCTTAGTTCCTTTGTTTCTCCAAATATTTTTAGCAGTTCTTCTTGGGCAGGCAGGTAATGGAGAAGAGCCCTGATTGACTCACTTCTCAGCCTTAAATAGGATTTATGTAAGGTGGGAACCCTTTGTTTCCAGTGGGAAAAATGCCTGACGTGTCTAAGGTAGCAGTTATCAGATGACCTTTCAATGTCAAGGCATAATTACAGGAAGCTTCTCTGGATGATGGGAGATTAGTAACTTCAAAATTTTACTGTCCTTTAAAATAGCCTATCCAGGCAGATTGCCTATTATCTGGTGGACATTCTCCCAAATACGTACACAGATGTAATTGTTACATAGTCAATGTTCCTAACTTCAGATACAGAAATAATATATACATACAAATAAGAAATACATTTAGTAAATCATAGCCTTTGTAATGATTCCTCACATGACCCATCTTCCATAAAATGTATCTTAGTTGGTCCATATCAAATAATATTTCTATGAAGAATACAGAAAGAAATGTCACAAGGTAAAACTGACAAAGAGCAGGTGAATAAACAGACAAACTGACTTTCCCCAGTCACACAGCAGCTCAGTGGCAGAGAGGGCAGTAGACATCTGAGTCTCGGGCCAAGCCCTGTCCACTGGATCATGCTATTTTGACAAGTGAAATGTAATTATATTTATTAACTAATAAATGTATTGCCATTTGGTTTGGATCCATGTTAGAAAGAGGATATAATGGAAGCCTGGATCAATGTTCAAAACTGGAGCCTTTAGATAAAATCATTCAGCTTTCTTAGATCATAGATAGACTGAAAACCCACCATCTTTTGTTTGTTGAAGCTGGAGTAAAGATTGAACCTCTGATATCAAAATGCTCTTTTGGGAGGGACCATTGATTAGGGAATGGTAAGGTCGCAAATTGGTCTGAATAACCCTTGTTTGTAATTTCAAGAATCCATTTATGTGATGTTATAAGCATCCAGTTGCTGGCAAATTGAACCAGCCCATCTCCAAACAACACATAGGAAAGACTGGTGCCAATATCATGAGGGTGAATATGCAGTATTTGTCAAAGAACTCAAGTTACAAATAACCTCAATTTATTATTCACTAA